TCCAAAAAGAGGGAATCCTTCCCAGATCATTTTATGAGACCAACATCCTGATACCAAATCCCGGCAGAGACTCAACAGGAAAAGAAAACTTCAGGCCAATATCCATGATGAACATAGATGCAAAAATCTTCAATAAAATACTGGCAAACTGATTGCAACAGCACATCAAAAAGCTTATCCATCATGATCAAGTAGGCTTCGTTCCAGGGATGCAAGGCTGGTTCAACATACACAAATCTGTAACTGTAATCCACCACATAAATAGAACCAAAGACAAAAACCACATGATTATCTCAGTAGATGCAGAGAAGGCCTTTGACAAAATTCAACAGCGTTTTATGCTAAAAATTCTCAATAAACTAGGTATCAAAGGAACATATCTGAAAACAATAAAAGCTATTTATGACAAACCTACAGTCAATATCATACTGAATGGGCAAAAACTGGAAGCATTCCTTTGAATCCAGCACTAGACAAGGATGCCCTCTCTCACCACTCCTATTCAATATAGTGTTGGAAGTTCTAGCCGGAGCAATTAGGCAAGAAAAAAGAAATGGTATCCAATTAGGAAAAGAGGAAGTCAAATTATCTCTATTTGCAGATGACATGATTGTATATTTAGAAGACCCTATCATCTCAGCCCAAAATCTCCTTAAAGTGATAAGCAACTTCAGCAAAGTCTCAGTATACAAAATCAATGTGCAGAAATCACAGGCATTTCTATACACAAATAACAGACTAACAGAGGGCCAAATCATGAGCAAACTCCCATTCACAATTGCTACAAAGAGAATAAAATACCTAGGAATACAACTACAAGGGATGTAAAGGACCTCTTCAAGGAGAACTACAAACCACTTCTCAAGGAAATAACAGAGGACACAAACAGATGGAGAAACATTCCATGGTCATCGTTAGGAAGAATCAAGATTGTGAAAATGGCCATACTGCCCAAAGTAATTTATAGATTCAATGCTATACCCATTAAGCTACCAATGACCTTCTTCACAGAACTGGAAAAAACCACCTTAAACTTCATATGGAACCAAAAGAGAGCTGCATAGCCAAGACAATTCTAAGCAAAAAGAACAAAGCTGGAGACATCACACTACCTGACTTCAAATTATACTACAAGGCTACAGTAATCAAAACAGCATGGTATTGGTACCAAAACAGAGATATAGCCCAATGGAACAGAACAGAAGCCCTGGAAGTAACACCAAACATCTACACCCATCTGATCTTTGACAAACATGACAAAAACAAGTAGTGGGGAAAGGATTCCCTGTTTAATAAATGGTGTTGGGAAAACTGGCTAGCACTGTGCAGAAAGCAGAAACTGGACCCCTTCCTGACACCTTACACTAAAATTAACTCCAGATGGATTAAAGACTTAAACATAAGACCTAACACCACAAAAACCCTAGAAGAAAACCTAGGCAGAACCACTATAGGCATAGGATATAGGCATAGGCAAGGACTTCATGACTAAAACACTAAAAGCATTAGCAACAAAAGTAAAAATAGACAAATGGGATCTAATTAAACTCCAGAGCTTCTGTACAGCAAAAGAAACAATCATTAGCGTGAAACAGCAACCAACAGAATGGGAAAAAATTTTTGCAATCTACTCATCTGACAAAGGGCTGATATCCAGAATCTACAAAGAACTAAAACAGATTTACAAGAAAAAAACAAACAAACCCATCCAAAAGTGGGCAAAGCATATGAACAGACACTTTTCAAAAGAAGACATATATGAGGCCAACAAACATATGAAAAAATGCTCATCATTACTGATTATTAGAGAAATGCAAATCAAAACCACATTGAGATACCACCTCACACCAATTAGAATGGCAATCATTAAAAAATCTGGAGACAACAGATGCAGGAGAGGATATGGAGAAATAGGAAAACTTTTACACTGTTGGTGGGAGTGTAAATTAGTTCAACCACTGTGGAAGGCAGTGTGGTGATTCCTCAAGGACCTAGAAATAGAAATTCCATTGACCCAGAAATCCCGTTACTGGGTATATACCCAAAGGATTATAAATCATTCTATTATAAAGACACATGCACACTTATGTTCATAGCAGCACTGTTTACAACAGCAAAGACCTGGAACCAACCCAAATGCCCATCGACGATAGACTGGACAAGGAAAATGTACATATATACCATGGAATACTATGCAGCCATAAAAAATGACAGGTTTGTATCCTTTGCAGGGACATGGATGAATCTGGAAACCATCTTTCCCAGCAAACTGACACAAGAACAGAAAATCAAACACTGCATGTTCTCACTCATAGGCAGGTGTTGAACAATGAGAACACATGGACACAGCGAGGGGAGCATCACACACTGGGGTCTGCTGGCAGGGGGCCAGAGGAGGGACAGCGAGGGAGTGGGGAGGTCGGGGAGGGATAACATGGGGAGAAATGTCAGATGTAGGTGACGGGGGGATGGAGGCAGCAAACCACATTGCCATGTGTGTACCTATGCAACAATCCTGCATGATCTGCACATGTACCCCAGAACCTAAAGTACAATTAAAAAAAAAAAAAGAAACCTACTAACTTGTATGTTAGAATGAAAAGAGAGGTAGCCTCCCAAAGGGGCAAGGTGGAAATGAAGGACCTTGTGTTTTCAAGGTGACTTCCCCAGTGTGCTAGCCAAACTTTTGTTTGCTAAAGCAAGCCAGGCATATAGAGCAATTGCAGAGGCAGTGTTGGGATGGTTGACCCTTGGACATTGCCCAGTCTCTGAGAACAACAGCAATGGTTGAGGGAGGGCTCCTGGTCCAGGTACCTAGAAGTTCCTCAGGGCTTCTCATGGCCATCTGACAGGAGCGGGGAAATAGTGCCACTGGTTCCTGAGAGTGCCTGTTGTCACCTATCCAAAGTGAAGAGAGAGCATTGTTTGTGGCCTTATCTTTGGCTCCAGGAGAGAGTAGCCTACCTGAAAGACAAGGAGCTTTGACAGAGCTGCCCCCAGGTCTCTGGTAGCCATGTTACATGGGTTGGGTGATTAATAGCTCAAACACAGAAATTTGGAGGAAGCTCTGAGATGAGTGACTTGCCAAAATTGGCAAGTTGATGGTGGAGTCAGTACTAGAACCCATACCTCCCTTTGACTCCTGGTCCAATACACCTTCCACCATGCCTGGAGCCTCCTTGCCTTCCCATCTGTATTACCTTCTTCTCTTCCAGTCCCCTATTCTGCCAGGTACACTTTCTCTGAACAGACCTTGAACACTCTCACTATATTATGGGTTGAATTATGTACCCCCAAATTTGTATGTTGAAGTCCTAAGCCCCTGTATCATAGAATGTGACCTTATTTGGAAATAGGCTCATGGCAGATATAGTTAAGTTAGGATGAGGTCATACTGGAGTAGGGTGTGCCTCTAATCCAGTATGACTGATGTCATTATAAACAGGGAAGATGTGCAGACAGACACAAATACAGGGAGAATGCCACGTGAAGATGAAGGCAGCAATCAGGGTTTTATATCTGCAGGCCAAAGAACACCAAAGATTGCCAGCAAACCACCAGAAGCTGGGAGAGAGACGTGGAACACATTTCTCCCTTGCTGTTCCTCAAAGAACCCACCCTCCTGACACTGATTTTGGGCTTCTGGTCTCCAGAAGGTGGAGAGAATAGGTTTCCTTGTTTTAAGCCACCCAGATTGTAATGTTTTGTTACAGCAGCCCTGGCAAACTAACAGACTATGGGAAAGGCATCTGTGCTCCTTCCTGGCAGTGGTTTCACAAGGATCCATAGGATCACTCTACCTGACTAGGCCGTGGCGCAGTGGGGCCAAACTTAATGGAAGATTACCCTTGGGCTTGGTCCTAAACCCCTCAGCACTTTCCCACTTCTAGTTGACCTGCTACTCCTCAAGAGCCTATCCAACATTGCATTCTCTGGTGATAATGGAGTCTTTTAAAAAGAATTATCTCGGCCGGGCGCGGTGGCTCAAGCCTGTAATCCCAGCACTTTGGGAGGCCGAGGCGGGTGGATCACGAGGTCAAGAGATCGAGACCATCCTGGTCAACACGGTGAAACCCCGTCTCTACTAAAAATACAAAAAATAAGCTGGGCATGGTGGTGCGTGCCTGTAATCCCAGCTACTCCGGAGGCTGAGGCAGGAGAATTGCCTGAACCCAGGAGGCGGAGGTTGCAGTGAGCCGAGATCGCGCCATTGCACTCTAGCCTGGGTAACAAGAGTGTAACTCTGCCTCAAAAAAAAAAAAAAAAGAATTATCTCTAGGCCGGGCATGGTGGCTCATGCCTATAATTCCAGCACTTTGGAAGGCCGAGGCAGGCGGATCACAAGATCAGGTGTTCGAGAGCAGCTTGGCCAATATGGTGAAAGCCTTCTCTACTAAAAATACAAAAGTCAGCTGAGCATGGTGGCGCATGCCTGTAGCCCTAGCTACTCGGAAGGCTGAGGCAGAAGAATTGCTTGAACCTGGGAGGCAGAGGTTGCAGTGAGCCAAGACTGTGCCACTGCATGTCAGCCTGGGTGACGGAGCAAGACTCCATCTCAAAAATAAAAAAAAAAAAAAGGAAGAATCACCTCTAAAAGTATGAGTTGCCAATGCATAAAGCTATTTTTTTGTGTGTATGTGAAATTAGCAAACATGAAGATTCTTAAATTTAGAATCTGCAAATACGCTGTATCTGAAATACATGCTAATTGCTGAGGAATACACAAAAGATAGGGGTGTGTGCGTAATACGCAATATATAGAGACATATATGTAATATATATACAGTATTTGTTTTACATAAAAACATACACATGTGCATCCTGAGTTTGATCTTTGCTGAACATTCTTACTTAAAACATCTCTTCAAAATGTTTACTATAAAAAGATACACAGTGTTGTTTATATGCTCTGTCTTGGTTTAAAACTTTTCTTGGCTGGATTCTTTGGACCTTAGGAAAATGTTAAAAGGGTATCCAGATACACATATAAAAGTACTCACCAAGGAACATTTCAATAACAGATGCCTTCATAGTGAGAACAACAGTCCTCATAAATATCAGAATGACACCCTGGAGAGAAAGAAACAATAACATCATCATATTTCAGCCAGGGGTTCTGATTTGGATGCACAGAGCGTGTGGGGATGGGCTGTATCACTTTGCATTGCCCTCTGGAGTCTTAGGATTCCAGGCTACAGATTTCCATAAGCAGCACATAGAGATGGCAGCGGCTGGCCATGCTGGTACCCAGAGATGCTATTCTCAGTTAGAAAACCCATTCTGGCCACCAGCCTCCAATTCTTTACATATTTGATGTTTACTTAGAACTGAAGAGGAAATAACTCTACAATTTTGAGAATATGTCCAAGCAGTTTTCTAATTAGGATGAAAGCCACATTTATGGCATTCAGAAAACATATGTAAATTGCAATGATTAATACTTCATTATTCATTCAATAAATATTTATTAAACTATTATATGGCTACATTTTGTTAGAAAGTGGTAAACATTGAATTAAAAAACAATTCTCACTCTTCAAAGGCTTACAATTTAATATAGGTGGAAAAACAAGTGGATACAAATAACCATGTTTAAGTGTTAAGTCCTCATAAGAGAGTGTAAGGGGACATTCACAGAGCAGTGATTCTCAGACTTTGCTGCATGTTATTTAATAGTATCGCCTGGGAGTTTAAAAAATCTTGATGCTAAGGCTGTACCCCAGACCAACTGAATAAGACTCTATTGGATTGGGGTCTAGTTATTAAGTTTTTAACCACTTCTCAAGTAATTCCAACATGCAGCCAACTTTGAGAACCAGTGGTTTTGAGTTGGGCTTCTTAAATCTTACTGTGTCTATTCATCCCCTGGGGCTGTTGTTAAAGTACAGGTTCTAATCCAATAGGTCGGGTAGTGCTGGAGATTCCCTAAGGGCCAGAAATTTTAGAAGGAGGGAGATTATGGCAGCCATGGGAATAAGAGAAAACCTCATCGAGATGGTGGCAACTGGGTCAACTTTGAAGAATGAACAGACTTTGAACATTCAGAAATAGGAGAGAAGTAGCTCCAAGTTGGGGAGAACAGCGCAACAGAGACCCAGACATTGGAGACTGCAATCGATATGAAAATGCTGGTGATCTATCCTTTCCCATCCTTCTCTTAAGACTGTGAGGAAACTGTCAAAGGTTTACTCATACTTATATTAATTGAGTATATTCTGTGCATTCTGTATTGTTTTGAATCCACATAAGAAGTCAGCATGGGAGGTTTTATGATCCTCATTGAACAGATGAGGAAACTAAGACTTAGAGAAGTTAAATGTCATAACTGTGGCGTAAGGTGGTGAATAGGATTAGAATGGATGTAAAGGTGGGTGGGAGGAATCTGTCCTGGGCACGGGCAATAAGGGAGAAGTTTGTAGAGAATTGAAAGACTTAAGGTTGGTCTACTTTTTATTATTATTATGAGCTAGCAATTTTAAACAATGTCAATGGTAGTAAAACACTCCTCCCCTATGGGCAGACAGCTTCCACGATATCCCCTCTCCCTCCAGTGCCACTGTTGTGTGGCCTAAAGCTGGCAGTCATAACTCTACCCTCTGCTATGTTCAGTGATATACTGGTTAAAAACAATAGAAATAAAAGCCCTGATTTGCAGAGCTTGTCAACTTCTGTGGTAGCAAATCCTCCTACCATGGCTCATTTTGAAGCCTCCAAAGTGACATCACTGAATGGAGATCTAGAAAGAGATAAGCACAATCTGGTACTAGCTAGACCCAGTATAAGCTTATATCCAATATCTGATACACTGCTATGCATATTTTTTAATAAAAAGCAATTATTAGATTATGGGTTGAGATAGTAAACAAGTACTCAATGCAATTAACTTAAAGTTGTTTAGTATTTGAAAACTTTATTACAAATAATTAAATTAAGCACCAAGAGTAACCCCAAACAGAATTGATCACTTTGTTAATTTCCAACAATTGCATTGTGTTAAATTTCACAATTAAGGTAGTTGGCTGTCTTTAGCTTCAAATAAAAACAAAATCATATATACAACCTGTTTGGCAATTTGATATTTAAATAGCCAGATTATATTTTGGAAATAGTGTGATAACTGGTACTTTTTTAGTTTTTTATTATTTTGAGAAACTCCAGAACAATTTACGTATCTTTAGGCCTCAGTGTTTAACTTTCCTATTGGTTAAGTGCAGTATGCCAAGTTGCCCTGTTGGACCCACCTATTCAGCCCCGTTAATTGGCTGTTACCACTCAACATTGCAGATTTCATCTGAGTTATCCTTGACTTCTCTTTCTCTTTCTCATACACTCCACATGCTCTCCACCAGCCAACCCTGTTGGTGCTACATTCATAATCTATCCAGAAACTGACCATTTCTCAGCATCACCACCATTGCCATCTGTGCCAGGCTCTGCCCTGTGCCACCTAGATTATTGCAATTAGCCTCATAACTAGGCTGTTCCCTTCTTCCTTTGTCTTCTGCTGTCCACAGAGCAGCCAGCATGATCCTATTCAAAGTAAATCAGTTCTTGGTATTTCTCAGCTGACCCTCTACAGTGGCTCCCCCTCTTACTCAGAAGAAAAGCAGAAGTCTTTACAAGTAGCTCAAGACCCTACTTGATTTGGCCCCCAGTGACCCTTCTGCTCTAATTTCTCACTGGTCTCTTCCTCAATTAGTAATCTTCAGCCACACTGGCCTCTTGGCTGTTTCTGGAACACTTCTTACCTCAGGGTCTCTGGACTATTGTACTACTTTTTCCTCTGGCTGGAGGCCGTTCCTCCAGATAAGCACATGACTTACTCCCTCATTTCTTTCAAATCTTTGCTTAAATGTTACCTCTCATGAGACATTCCCTAATCATCCAATTTAAAATCACAGTTCCCCTCCTACCTCACCCACCACCAATGGATATAACCTATCCCTTTCCTACTGTCTTCTCCTTTGACTTACCACTTCCTGACATACTTTATATGCTTTTTATTTTATTTTATTTTTTTATGGTGTTCCCCACTATAATTGAAGCTCCACAAGGGCAGGGATTTTTATTTGACTTTTGGGTGTTCAGTAAATATGTATTGAATCAATGTGTGGGTAGTGAGGGCTCTCCCTTTTCTCTAGGAAATTTAAAAAGGAAAAAAAAACAAATGGAAGACTATCTTATGAATACATTAGAAACTACTGAATTATATGCTTTATGTTTATTTATTTATTTATCTATTTTTTGAGATGGAATCTTGCTCTGTTGCCCAGGCTGGAGTGCAGTGGTGCGATCTCAGCTCACTGCAACCTCCGCATCTTGAGTTCAAGCAATTCTCTGCCTCAGCCTCCTGAGTAACTGGGATTACAGGTGCCCACCACCACACCTGGCTAATTTTTGTATTTTTAGTGGAGATGGGGTTTCATTATCTTGGCCAGACTGGTTTTGAAATTCTGACCTCATGATCCATTCACCTCGGCCTCCCAAAGTGCTGGGATTACAGGTGTGAGCCACCGTGGCTAGCAGAATTATATACTTTAAATGGCGTATTTTGTGGTATGTGAATTATATCTCAATAAAAATTAATAGAGCAGTATTGACATTATTGATATTGTTAATCAAAAAACCCTAAGGGAAGGTGGAGAACAGAGCAAAGTGCTCTCAGATCTGTTCTGCAACTTTAGAGTCACGATGGACATGACCTTCAGAAGCTGGAATGAATGGATAAAAACCACTGGGAATCCAGGAGATGCTGTAATCCCTGGAAGGATCTCACCCAAGTGTTGGCTTATTAATAATGGAAGCTGACCAGAATCATTCTAGTGTCGTAGAGTACTTGAAGCTTCTTTCTCACCACTGATTCACAAACTTATGGATTGTGCCATGAGATATAACATAAAGAATCCCAAATATGTAGTTCTGTGGAGGCAAATGAAGCCTGGTTGTGAAGGAAGAGTATACATTAGTGTAAGTAGACTAGTACAGAAAATTTAATAAGATCTCTTTCTGCCCAGAGTTAGCAGAGAGCAAGTTGGTAATAAATAATAATATAGCTTTCTATTTACATAGTTTTTTACAGTGTTGTAAATAAAGCAACGTCCTGTGCTAGAGTTGTCTATTTTGTTCACTGTTCAGTTTCTTGAGCCTGGAATAGTATTTGTGGTGGGCACGACAATACATGTTTGTTGAGAAAATGAGTAAATACAAACTTTTTCTTCACAGTAAGCTTGTGTGAAATGTGCAGTATGCATAATTCCCACTTTAAAGATAAGAAAACTGAGGTCTGCAGTGGGTAAGTGACCTATCCAAGGTCACATATCCAAAGTCAAGCCTGGGGTTCATGGCTCCTGATCCTGTAACCCTCTTTCTACCCCTTGTGTATAAGATGATCTGCAGGTTGCACCTTGTTAAGATTGAAAAAGCAAAATGGACTTTTCTTAAATCTCTACATCAAAATGCTTGACATTTACAGATAAGGGGCAATTTGCTCATCAGTTAAAGATGTATGAGAAGAATGCACTTTGCCAAAGGTGGAGGAAGAGTAAAAAGGCAAAGAAAGAGAAAAGTAATCTAAACAGGGAAAGCAAAGACCACAGCAAGAAGCAGCAGGAAAAGACACTTAATAATGTACAGCACTAGGACCAGAAAGTGTAAAGATTAAAGCAAGTTCATTGGGAATTGAATGTGACAATGCATGCAAAAGCAACTTGGAGAAAGAATGACTAAAATTAAAAAGGCTCATACTACGAAGTGTTGGTGAGGATGTAGAGGACTGGAATAATTGCTAACGGGAATGTAAAATGGTACAACTACTTTCGAAAACAGTTTGGTAGTATCTTGAAAAGTTAAAAAGCTAAATATATTCCCACTGTATATTGCAACCATTCCACTCCTAGGCATTTTCCCAAGAGGAATGAAAGCATATGTCCATACAATGACTTCTGCATGTACATTTTTAATAGCTTTATTTCTTGTAGCTCCAAACTGGGAATGATGCAAAAATCTATCAACAGATAAATGGATAAACACATTGTGGTTTATCCATGCAATGGAATACTACTCAGCAATAA